CTTAACACAGCAACAGTTGTCTGATTGTTTCAAGACATGATGAAAATATTAAACAGTTAAAATGATAGCTCACCCAAAAATGAAAATTCTGTCATAAATTACTCACCCTCATGCCGTTCCAAACCCGTAAGACCTTCGTTCATCTTTGGAACACAAATTAAAGTATTTCTTGTTAAAGCCGAGAGCTTTCTGACCCTGCATAGGCAATACGTTCTCACTCCCAACTCGTCACATATTGACTCTTGATCAGGACCCTTTGGCGTCACTTTTTAACGCACAGAGTACCCCTTTAGAGTCATTTTTCGATGTGCAGGGTCCTCCATTGCTTTAAATAAGAACACTTTGGCATCAATGTGCAGACACGAAAGGCATGTTGGGAATTTTATCGTCATGATTAAATTATATATTGGGTAATAATTTTGCCAACAATTTGTAAACAGTCACAACAATTTTATTTACAATACACAATTTACACATTTATGAGCATGTAAACCAACCCCTACCTCTAAACCTAACCATTTGTCAATATAAAACACAGGATTTAACAGACTTTAACTACAGTCACAATTTATTCAAAAAGTATTAATATTCCAAGTCTTCCGAGGCAAAACGATTGATTTGTGAGAGATTGATTTGTCCATCCGCCGAAAATCTCAGATCGTGCTGTGTGTGTGTGCGCAGTCTGTGCACAAATTAAAAAATTGCCACCAGAAGAAGCATTATGTCAGCTTTGGTTGAGAAATGCCATTGGCTCTTGTGTGTCTCATGACGACTGCGTCATGCTAATGTTCGGGAGTATCTTTTTGAATGAGGTGTGAGCGGTGCACTTTAAGGGAGTGGAATCTTTTTCAGCGAACACCTTATGATTTACTCTGTTCTTCGCATAAAGATATCGTATGGCTTCAGAAGACTTGGAATGCAACACGACTTGTAATACTTTTATACTACTTTTTTATGGTCAGTTTTTGCAATAAATACCTGTGACTGTACTTTTATTTGCCTGTTACGTGTTTTATATTGTTCAGAAGTGGATAGGTTTAGGGCAGGGGTGGGGTTAGGTACTCCAAAATATATATGAAAATATAAGCTTATATAAAATGATTTCCATTTTTAAAAATGCATGCAAACCATTAAATGTGTCTTGATCTGACACATAAGGCAAACAACTGGAAGCAATAAAGTATCCTGCATGTCGAAAAGTGATGCTAAAGGGGAACACCGAGCATCAAAAAGCGATGCCTAGGGGTCATGACCAAGCGTCAGTATGTGACGAGTTGGGAGTGAGAATGTTTTTGCATAGACGGCAATGCAACTGAAATGTTCCCAGGCCCAGAAACTTAATAAGATCATTAAAATTTTTGGGTGAACTATCCCTTTAAATTAAAAAAAAAAAAAAAAAAAAACAGACCTAGACTGAGTCTTTTTTCACAGATTCAATAAATCACATTCAAGAATCATATTAAAGTCCCTGTAAAGTCAATTCTGATAATTGTTTCTAAACGCATTATAAAAGTTACAAATGTATTGCTGAAACACATTACAAAGACTGTGAATTCTGTAGTACTGAATAGTGGAGTTAGACGGTTAAACAGTTTTTCACCAATTCTGTGTTCAGGATTTTTTTGTGCGGGGCTAAAATGGTGGTTGGATGATGCACTGGAGTCACTGATCATGGCCCCTCCCCTAAAACTATAATAACTGTCGATGACGCACTGGAGAAAATATGTATAGGCAAATATGTATGGTTTTGTAAATTCAATTAAGCTGCTAGGAGCATCCATTCTGGTTGTAGCAGTATTTGACAGTTAAGAGGCGGCAGCTTTCCCACGAGTGGGTGTGGTTTCATCGCAGACAGCGGACACACCCCCAGCGTTTGAGGGCAGGGGATACCGCACATCTTTTCGAGATTTTAATAACTTATTTTATGTACTTAGCGGATTTTTTTTATCATTCAAATTTGGCTGAGTGGTTAATAATAAATTTTTTTCTGGTGTGACAAACTCAGAACACATATGATGATGTTAAAGGAACATTATTTTGTGTATTTGGTGTAATGAAATGTGTTTATGCGGTTTAAGGTTAAAAAAACACATGATTTTCCACATACTGTACACTCTAAAAAATGCTGGGTTGTTTCAACCCAACTTTGGGTCAAATATGGACTAACCCAACCGTT